TCGAGATGAGAAGACGATCACTGATCTAAAACCCTAACCCCAATTATCCATCCTACAGTATTCGCAGGGGTGGGTTTAATTTTAGGCCCAAATGTTCATTTTCTTTTCTTTTTAGATGCTATATCGGCCCATCATGTAATGGGTTGGAGCCTAAGCCCATTTAGTTCTTTATTATCAAAGTTCAATTTGTCTAAGTATTTCTTTTCCCTACCTAAATATGGAAATAAGGACACTTGATATTCTTTTTAAAAAATTATTTCCATTAACAAATAGTTTATTTTATTAACTATGTCAAAACTATGGAAAAAATAGTTAAATGTAACTATTTTTTCCAGTTATTCCACCATATATATTAATTCAAAACATGTTGAGACCGCACCTATTGATTTTAAGATTGAACGTCAGTAAGGCACCTAGGTTCACCCTCTTTATGGTGCGTTTTTCCTGCGTGAGACCGCACTTTCTTCCCTCAATTCTTACATGGTATCAGAGTCAGACCAACTCCGACTTGGGTCTATATCTGCCCATCATGCTCTATGCTTGGGCTTACTCTCTACTCGGCCTGCTCTAGACTTAGGTTTATGAGGGACTCACAAGTGAGTGTTAGAAATTTTGATGTGGCTGAATTAATGGGTCATATTTGACAAATGAGTCATATTTTTCTTTGAAATTGGAAAGAAACATATTTTAATCAAATTATTGAACAGATATATAGTTAGAGGAAAAAAATAGTTGTGGACGTAGTCTTGGCATAGATAATCCCATCGTAATTCCAAATGAGTAAGATAATCAAATAAGCTAGCTTATAGCTTATTTGGTTAGCTTATGAGCTCCCTGCTTAAAATAAGCCTCGTTTGGTAGGACGAGCTTTTTTAAAAAGTTTGAGCTTATTTCATAAGCTACTTTAGATAGCTTTTCAAATAAGCTGGTTGAATTTTTTATTTCAGCTAGCTTATCAGCTAATTTACCAAACATCTTTTATCATATAAGCTAGTTTTTCAGCTATAAGTCATAAGCTATAAGCTATAAGCTCAAAAATTACATATAAACTATCAGCTAGTTTTACCAAACATAATAGTCGTAATCTTAAAACCTACAAATATCAAAATTGTAACTATATAGTATATATATCTCATGTTAATGGTTCACCTAATCATGTTGTCTCATAAATAAATGCATTATACTTAGAATTTAGAATCTAATTGTTTACAAAATATTTCACCTCAAATATTTTCAACTCAAAATCTAATTCAACTTTAACTCAACCCCACTATTTTTAATATTATTCATATAATTAAACAATACAAACCAATCATTCTTACACATCACATCAACTTTAATTCACTATTCATCCACTCACAAAATTTTAACTACCAATCATTTTCAGTCATTTATCTCCTACTTTAAATCAAACCAATTTTAATCATTTTATTTTAAATATTATTTTAATATATTTTTTAAATCCCACTAATAATTAACCACACTACTTTTTCAACTTTAGCTATAGTTAACCAAAATGGAATATTTTGAATGAAATATTTTATAAACAATCATGCCCTTATCATTTTTTGACAAATACATGAAATCAACTACCCATAGGTCATAACTAATTTATTCTTGGACGCAAAAACACGTTTCTATTGTTAATTATTAATTGAACAAATATAAAAATAAAAAATAAAATAAATGAAATAAATTTGGCCATTAGATATACAACTGTTCTATTTTTATTTGTGTCGTTAATATCTAGGGGAAGATTAGAAAAACCAACTTTGTTGCGCTGATAAAAACATCCAATAATAAAACTTTATTAAATGTAGTAAATATACAAGAATTAATAAAATTGTGTAAATGCTGCAAGCAATGGAAAAAAGCATAGTCAGCCCCACATTTATGTGACTGAATTTGTGAAGGAAAACCTACCTAATTACATCTCCATGTTCTTCTACAATATTATTAAAAACTGTTAATCATAATAATGTT